AACTGGAGAAAAAAATAAAAAGAACAGCCTCATGACAGCGAGGTGGAGAAATCCAAACTATCGACTGGGCCAAAGGAGCAGAAAGACACAATGAGCTAAATTTTGCCTGGCTTGCTAATTAAAAGCGGAAGCTCCCCTACTCCGGAGCCAGTGTTGGGAGGTGGGGGGACTTTTCATGCTATTCAAAAAAATCGGCCTCCAACTGGGACCATATTCACTCTACATTAATTGTCATTCCAACTACGAGTGTCCTAGTTTCAAAATGAAAACTGCTCTCCAGTGTCGCTAGTGAAAACCAACACCGGTTGCAGGGCATTAAACAAAATTTATTGATTGCACTTTCCCACCCACTAAAACTTTAATAAGCATTAAACCTCCGACTCCTGGCCCTACTTCCTCCCTCTACCCTCTCTCTCTCCATACCCTCTCAAACTCTTCTGTATGGAGATTAGGACTTAATGTTTGGTATTCGTTTATGAGCCTATCAATTGCCCCTATTTCTGGGGGAAAGGAGGAGCACATCTAAAAAAATAACCCTCTCGTAAATGGATTAAGAGAGGCCAAAGGTTTGGGGGGTGATTTGGAATTTTTCCCAGCTGATTGTGGGTTTTAGATATATTAGAGATCATGTTTAGGTGAACAGAAAATAAATAAATATTCTCCTTTCAGTAGGCTTCCCTGGAGTTACATAAAAAGGTCTTTTTCATGGATTCTTATTTCTCACTAATAAGGCACAGAGCTTTAAGTCTTCCCTGCTAGCTGTTTTCAGTAGGGTAAAAGGGAAAAAAAGTAATAGTTTGGGGGCCACTCTGTCTGCATGCTCTGTAAAACAAACAAAGGCCCAATGTTTGAAATGCAAAGTTCGGTGATTAAGCCCAGAAATCCATATCTAGGCATCAAAACGAATGGCCAAAGATTTTAGGAGTGCTTAAGTGATCGAAATGCAGAGACACAACTGGCTCAGCATCTTTCAAAACCAGGCCTGTAATTTGAATGCCTAAAGTGAGATTTCAGTGCCAGGTACCCAAGTTTGCAAGTCGAACAGTAATCGCCTTTAGTAAAGCCTGAGCCGTTCTAATCTAAAATCACGAATCACAAATGAAGATTTTACTGCCTGGAAGGCAAATCTAACTAAAGCTGCAACGTTTTGTCCACATGCTAAAAAACTCTTCTCTTCTCCTTCAGCATTAATAGAAACAGTTTTGGGACACTGCAAAAGAAAAGCGCATGTCAAAAATTCTTTTATTTCTCTCTTTTTTTTTTAAAAAAAAAAAGGATTGCTAAAGGGATTAGACACAGCTTTGAGTTCACTGCTCTGTTAAATCAACCTTACAATATTTTTTCAGCTTGTCTGACTTGCTGTTTCTGTATACATTTGTATTTTCACCTTTCTGCATGCAAATCCCACGCTAGCGTTTGTTCTGTGCTTCTCACAGGAAACTTAGTCAGTTCTTTATTTGTACTAAGTCGACAGAGTTATAGAAAACAGACTTGGAAAACAATCCCTAAATTAGCAGGACTTACTGGCTTACATGCACACGCACACACTCACATACCATCCTATCCAAGTGTGGCGTTTTATCATTTCCAGCAGCGAGAGCAGGGCATCAGGTTCAACAGAACGGATCTTTTAATGGTCTCGCGTAACCGTATCTATTACGGTGGGTTTCTAACTGCACGTAATAAATTAAGAGAGAGTTCAAGGAAGTCATGCGTATCTCTGTTCCCACTCCCTTAGAGCAGCTTTAATGTTTGCAACGTAGCACCAGGGTACGGAAATACCAGAATCAAGATGAATACCTCTACACAGAGCCACTCGAGCACTTCCAGGAGGAAACGCGCTTTCTGTGGCAGGTCATTTCCCGTGTCCTGCAGCCACCAGCACGGGCCAACCCAGAGGCTGCCGCATGCGCTTTCCAACACCGGCTTCATCCTCCCCGCTCTCCTGGCTGTCCCAGCTTGGCCATTCCTGTCCCTGCCAAAACCACTGCTCCAATGTCCTGCTCTCCAGCCCCCGCTACCCAAACTGCTGACAAAGTACAGAGGAGCCTCTCCCAGGTCCCTGCTTTGAGAGCTGGTTTCTCACCCTGCACAAATGCAGAAAAACAAGCCAAGACACCATGCAAGGGCTGGACCCATGTGGATATCAGGTGCTGAGGATAACGTTAGGCCAGGTCCACATCCCTGGCTCAGCTCCTTTATCTGCCCAGCATCGCCCTCCAAGCCCTGCTGTGAGTCTGTTCTGTCTCCAGGGTCACTGGAGAGAGGCAGCAACCCAGTGGCAGGGGAAATTCTGCTCCCGCAGGAGACCTCGACAGCAGGATACTACCACTTGTCCCGGCTCCTGCATCTCCTTTCCATCACGGAAACGGCCACCTTCGAGTGCTGGGCAAAGTCATCCCTGCAAAGACTGCACAGCTTGTCTGAATCTAATTTGCTATTCACGGGGAGTGGGGCAGCAGGAGGGGAAAGAAAACCTCTACTTTAAACATTTATGCATATTTTGAAAGTACCTGAAAAGGTTTCGGCAACTTTGGGCCAAGACTAACATTCCAGCTACAGGATTATCTTATGCAATGTGTGTAGATGGGCGCTCTCAGGAAGGATTTGCTGCTGCGCAGGGTGGCAATAGCTAATATCACAGGGGTAGGCCGGGTTATTAGGAGCCTGGCAACAGTGCCCGGACCTCCCTCCACGATGACTTTCCTGCACGATTTTCTCCATTGAGAGGCCCACCATCTTCTCCTCCATCCTTCTCAAATCCCACAACCGCCAGCATGACTATAAATAAAAATGAGGCAGAAATCCTGTTTCTTCACTAAATAATACACACGGCAGAGTCACTGTACAACTCAATAAACACTTTCAAGGACTTTTTCTTCTCGGCTGTGTGTGGGTGGTTATGCAGGGGGGCAGATTCCAAAACATTTTGGGGGCAGGAGGGAGCTTTCAGTTTCCTTTACGTCCTTGTCCAAATAATGGCAATACTAAGCAAACTGCTAGCCAAAAGAAGTTTGAGTGCGATCCTTTCTTCCATACCCGAAGGTTTCCTTTTGCTCCTGTTGCTCTCTCCCCTGTAAGGGGGCTAAATCCAGGAAAGGTTGAGGGGGATCTGTTGCTCTCTCCCCTGTAAGGGGGACAAGATGTGCCCGCTCCAACATTTAGCAAGGCTAAATCCAGGAAAGGTTGAGGGGGACACACTCGCAGCAACCCCACTGAGCTCATCCGCTCCCAGGAAAAAGCTCCATATCCACATTGTATTTAATGAAACTGCAGGATTTACAGTGTATCCCAGCCGGGCAGGGAGCAGTGGGAGGACAAGAAGGACGTGGCAGAGGATCCGCCTGATAAGGCATCTTCAAGGATAACCCAATAAGGCTCATCACCCTTGTCCTCAAGCCAAGGAAATCAGAGCCCAGGAGGCCTGCAACTTATCTTTACACTTAATTACAGATCGCACATGCCTGACGAGAAGTCCTTGCTGCCATCCCGTCTCTGACCCCAACGCCTTTCGGCTGAGCTGCAAGGAGCGCTCCGTTCCCAGCCATCCCTCGTGCCTTCACAGGCACTGCACAAACAAGGAGGTAGACAAGAGATTCGCGGCTAGCTGGGGATGGATGCTGAGGGGACACCATCTGCCACTCCTTACTTTCCCCTTCTTTTTATTTTAATTAATCAATTAGCGAAAGGGGAGGCCAAGTGCTGCCCGAGACCTGGGCTCCCAGCCCTGCGGCTCCGCTCTCCCCGGCACGCGGCCGCCCGGGAACCGGCTGACCACACTCAGCAAGAAAGAGGCTTTTTCAGCTTTCCCTGGAAAAAAATAAAATAAATAAATAAAAAGCTTTCATGAAAATCTGCGAGGCCACGCATAGCACACCAGCCCTTAAAAAAAAAAGGCATGAATGCATGTTTTATTTTATTTTGCAAGCATTCCCCCTGCTCTGGCTGCATTCATTTGCAGTTACTTTCTTACATGGTAGATGCCAGCTAATTTATGCACCTCCTTTTAACACCACCATCCTGTACTCCTGCACAGATCCCCAGCGCATTAACATCAGTATTTAAACTGGACATGTTTTCTTAAACATTCCTCCTCTTTCATAAACTGCCAAGTGACAGTTGTTTACTGTCAACAAGCCTGGGTACTCTAGACCAGGAGGGATCTGCCCTTCCAAAAGACAGACACATTGGCTACCACAGGAAGATTAAAATCTGGTGGTTTATCTCCTTCTCCCCCCCCGAAAATGCTTTATTTGCGCAGATAGGCGCGATATGCATCAGGAGAGAAGGCATCGTGCTTAATTCCAATCGTTCTTGCAACTGAAAAGCGGCTCACAGACGATTTCTCTGTAGTCACACACATTAACGCGAGCTCTTAGCTCCCAAGTCTTCCAGGTGCCACTGCTCGTCACCCCTCGCTTTTAGCTCCGGCACCCCGATTTCCCAAGGGAAATCTGCGGCGATTTCTGCCAACAGCTGGAAATAACTTGCATGCCCTAGGAATCTGTATGGAGCAGTTAAAAGATGATGATAATAACAATAATCAAATTGCTGGCTACTTCAAGACCTGCACGCCCCCAATAAGCTGCAGAAATATTTTGCTGAGAGGGAATTGCTTGTACTTGAGTCTAGCACGTGAAAGCCGGGGGGAGGAAGGGGGGGGAGGGATACTAGAAAACAAACAAACAAAAAAACACTCTGAGAAAAGAAAACTCTTTCTTCCCCCTCTGCCGGTCTTTTCGGCAAGGCTCTGGGAAAGCTCCTTCCCGGGAACACCATGTGCTGGGCTCCTCTATTGTCCCGGGCAGGCGGGAGGCACCAAGTGCTGCCACGTTCCCCGAAATAACCCAGCGCCTTTTCCCATGCCAATGCTTCCCGACATTCCTCGGGCGCCCCATGGGCCAGGAGAGGTGCAGGACAGACTCCTGCTGGGATGACTGACACCGCCCTGTGGCTTCATTTCGATGGTGAAGGGGGCTCATGCCAGATGACACAGATACCATTGACCATGGCCGCGGGAAAACGGGATGCGATGGTCCATTGTCCGGCGCTTGCTTTAGTGGATTTGGGCTGGTTGCATCCAAGTGAATGTGGTGCAAAATTGGTTATGAAAGCACACAGTGCTGAGGACAAATGCAGCTGCTAGATGGACATAAGACTGAAGGTAGAGATGGTCATGGCATGTTTCCAGACAGACAGGAGGTCATGGAGAAGGCCAAGAGTCGCCCAAACAAACCCAGGCCAGGCAGCTCTCCCCACAAACTGGGGAAGTCCCTCTTACCAATGGAGTGGAGCAAACCTCAAACTCCAGCTCTCAGGAGCTTCCCAGTCCTTGGATAGGGAAAGCACGAGGATGACGAGGGCTGATTCTCCTGCCTGGACCCAGGAAATCTCCCATAGGCCCCTGCTTCTAAAAGAAAGGCCTCCCTGGACATGTATTTTGCTTTCCCCCATGGAACTTGATGCTGAAACACCCTTGTGGCCCACCTGCCCATGCTCTCCTTCACCCCAACCACTGCAGGGACCCTGGAACCAGGCACTGCTCCCCCCAGGATGCTTCATCTTTAACACCCTCCTTGCAGCTCCACGGTCACCCAAATTCCTCATTTTTTGCCTTCCTTACGGTTACATAAGTCTCTTTTGAAGCATCAGTGGGACTTCATCCACACCAGGGAGCAGAGAGAAATATGAGGTCTGGCCCCAAAATAAGATTCAGCTATTTTGCTGACCCCCTCCCAGTTCACCCCAGCTCATGTCCAAAATGCTCAAACATCCTTTACTCTATTACAGTGAAGTTTCAGTCCAATCTCTATAACCTCAGCAGTGCCCTAGCCCTGGGAGCTGTGCTGATTTAACTACAGCAACTGGGTAATTTGGTTATTGCCAGGTTTGGGCTGCACAGGGTTGCTTGGGGTAATAAAGGCGAGCAGCAAAACACTTTGGGGAGCAAAAGCACGGAATTAAGATAAGCTGGCAAGTACTTTCTTCTCACCCTGGTTATCAAGCAACCCGAGGTTGGTACCCACCCTCTGCTCCCCTGAGGGTCTCTATCGTGCAATGGCGTGCCGTGACAGCTAATTATTTCCTTTCCTTAAAAAGCATATACAAAAACTATAGGAAAAAAAAGAAAAGAAAGAAAAAAAAAAGCATGAATCAACTTTAGGTTTTGATGTCTAGCTCATGGTGTAACTGCTGGGTGCAAACGCGAGCGTTTGCAGGGAAGTTTCCTCCACTGCGCGCTGCTGCCGGCGAGGTTGCACAGAGAGCAATCCTAGACGGCGTCCTTTCTTTACCCGAAAACTTGGAACTCTCCTCGCTTCTGAGTCATTAATACTTTTAACCCCTTGCAACCTGCAGAAATGGCAAAGCCCCAAAATCCCACAGATGCCGAGCGTGTAAGCGCACGGTAATCGCTTTGCATACAGTTCGGAGCGATAAAGAAACTACGCTGCGGTTCCAAGATTTCATATAACCTTTCGGGTTAACAACCTTCTTATCTCCCCCCTCCGCTGCCGACCCGGGAAGGCCAGGCCAAGATGCAAAAGCTCCCGCCCCCTCCACTACAAACACCGCATCTTTTTTAGACGAAAATACTTGAAACTGGAGCAGTTGCTGGATAAGTTTTTCCCACTTTACTGTGTTGCGAGCCTTCAAAAGGCCCCAATATGTTATGTAACCCCAGCACGGCACCAAACACATTGGCCAAAACAGCCCTCTCCCCACTGAGACTGCAACTGGACCTCTGGGTGCAACAGGGCAGGTTTACAATTGATTACCTTTCACATCTTCAGCTACCCCGTTTACCTAAGGTTTTACCCAGCTCCTATCTCGCGGTTCATGTTTGCTTTTGATATTACAGAAACTTCCCGGTTGGCCACCTCAGCCAAAGAGCAGATTTCTGGTGGGGGGCAAAGCGCAGAGGCGGGAAGGAAATGCTCCTTTTCCCACGTACGGGGTACAGGGCTTTGCATCGCACCTCTGGCACGTACCGGCACCTGGCTGGGAGCTACTGGGGCTGGGGGCACTGGGCACGCTCACTCGGCTTCACTTAAAAGAGCAAAAAAAAAAGGAAAAAAAGCACATGCCAAGATTTTTCCAGGATTGCCAGATAAAGGGGCCATAGAAGAATTGGGGATGCCGAGCCAGAGGAACGGGCTCCCAAGGCTCAGGAACAGTTACAAGCACATTGCGCTCCCGTAAGAGGAGCCCAACAGGTAGGTCTGTGCAGGCAGGAAAATTGGGAAAAAACAAAAATATAAATATATACACACACATATATATAGATTTACTCAACGAGGTTTAATCAACTGTCCATGTATCAGGTTCAACCTAGCTGGGAAATAGCTGTCAAACTGCCTGTTAGTAGCCGCTTTTCTACTATTTCACGTTTTATCTTTTTCCATGCGTGAAACACACCACACTTTATAACGTCGAGTATGTGATGGGTAGAAAGCGCCGAAAGAAGCGCAGAACTCGCAGTGCATGGAGCAGGAGCACACGCTTTGCTCGTGGAGATGTGCATGAGTGTCCGAGAGCCACAGGGGCTCACCCAGCCATGGGCTCCTCGGCGACTCGAGACGCTGGAAACACGTCTGCGAGGGGAAATGCTACCTGTATTTGTAACAGAAATGTCTGGATTTGTAGCATTCATCCTGCGCTTGTTTTACATATGTTCAGCGTAAGCCTGTAAGCGGCAACAGGGGACAAGGCAGCCCCATGCCCACCTGTCCTGTAGCCCCTGTCCAGCACGTTTAAACAATCAACCAGAAGAAAAATGTATCGGCAGGCCATGTCCTAACCTTAACCAAAGCTGAGAATTAACTGACGCCTCCACTCAGTTAACAAGAATTAACTGACGCCTCCACTCAGTTAACACGACACTCCCAGAAACTCTCATATTGGTTAAATGAAGCTTTTCTAAAAGGAGAATCTCATTAAACACCCAGAAACTAAGACCATTCCAGATCTTCATAGAGTCTCTGACTGGAACAGCAGTTGGATGCAATAAGTTTTCTGGAAGGACCGCTTTTAAACATACAGTTTGATACCAAAGTTCACTTTTACAGATCATATATAAATACAAAAGACCTGGTTTCCCAGCTCTATGGAGGGGGAAAAAACCCTCAGCTCATGTTGAAAAGTTTTAGCCCTGTCCAGGCAGCTGGAGGAAAACGGTCCCAATTCAGGAATGCTGCAGACAAGACTTCTTTAGCGTTCACCAAACGGCAAAATCTGTGTTCAGAAAGGCTCCCAAAGAGGCACGTTTGCCCAAAGAGCAGTGAAGATTTTTTAGAGGGAGTCATAAAAGTTAACGTGCCAGTCAGAGGGGCTTAATTTAATTGCATCATTTAATTAGCAGATCAACACTTCACTACACAATTTTAAGATTTGCTTTCATCCCCTTCCCTGTTCAATAGTTGTTAATAAAGTCTTAATTAAAGGAAGGAAAAAAAAAAAAAAACTCTAGATTTAACTGGAGGGACCTTTGTCCATATGGGTAAACGGTGGCGATATTATACATCTAGCGTCAAATATATCAATGCACTGGTATAGATTTTCCAGGCCACTGTTTGCTAAGTGAAGAATAGACTAAAAAAATAAAACAAAAGCCATATTTCATTATCCGTCACTCATGTCATCTAATTTTATTGCTCTGTAAAATATGCTGGTCTCAACATTAAAGACTTAATCAACTTTCTGAAATCTCCTACTGTTAAAGCAATCCGTAAACCAACTTTCTTCAACAAAACTATCTTACTCATAGATGCCCACTGAATCAAAAGGATGTCAGGTCTCAGCTGTAAAGCAGAAAGCCACATTTCCTTTATAATGGGCTCTTTTTAAGGGACCTTAAAACGCTTCTCTTACGAGAATATGTAAATCCAGAAACCCACCCCAGGAGCGGTAAATGCCATTCAGCACTCGCTGAAATGCAATTATAATTTCATGGTGAACTTTGGAACGTTTAGATACACAAAGCAAAATGACACAGATGATATCACTCTATACCTTGTACCCTCTCTGGCCTGAAACTGAGATGCCTTTAAAATTAAAAATTAAATAAATAAATAAAAAGAGAGAAAGAAAGAGAAAAGCAGAGTTGCTACAAGAAAAACTTGTCAGCCATCACTTCACCACTGATCCCAAGCAGAAAAGTCACAGGCATACATGGCCCAATATTCAAAGTAAGTTAAATCCTGGCATTGGTGACACTTCTAGCATTTTGCCTTGCTTGCCGGGTTCAGCACAGGAACTCGGGTGACAACTGGACTCCAGTACCACGCAAGCAAACCGCGGCTACTGACATGCAGCTCCCCCTCTTCCCATGCAAACTTCCTCAAATATTAACAGCTTCCTACGTAACTTTTTCAATGCATATGCACAGGCTTAGTGGTGAACTAGTACAACAAAAATTCCAAGAAGTCCAGAAATTCACTTTTCCCGTTTATCACACGTGTACATGCACGAACCAGATAGGGAAGGCAGCCCGTTATCACAAGTTTTTAGAAGAGAAACGCTGCCATTTCTGCTGGTCCGCTCTCTAAGAAAACAGCCAGCATTACTTGACATTCACCAATCGTACGAAGTAATATCTCTATCTGAATACTAATGCAAATTGGAAGGGCTTTTTTATATTGGTGTCTATTCTGTGGCCGCTGAATAGAGTGACCGCATGCTCAAGGCTGCAAAGGAGTTCACTGACCTCCCTAATCATCTCTGTCATAGCCGCTGAATGACATACACATTCAATCCTGCCTTGCCTCTCTACTTTCATTCATAAAAAAGGGGGGAAAAAAATGACATTGTTCTTCCTGCAGCAGCCCCGAGAAAGGGAGCGAAGAGAAACTCGGCCCAGATGAGGCCCCCGGTGTTTTGAGTTTAGCTCCTATTCAGCGGCAGCCCCGCCATCTGCCTCCTTCCTGCCAGCAGCCCAACACCTCCCCGCGGAGATGTTAAAACCTGCACCCCCTCCACCTCCACTAATAGCTAGTATTCATATTAGCAAACAT